CTCCCTCAACCTCTCCTTGTAGGGGAGATGCTCCAGTCCCCTCATCATCCTCGTAGCCCTGCGCTGGACTCTCTCCAGTAGCTCCTCACCTCTCTTGAACCGGGGAGCCCAGAACTGGACACAGCACTGCAGATGGGGCCTCACCAGGGCAGAGCAGAGGGGAAGGAGAACCTCCCTCGTCCTGCTGGCCACACTCTTCTTGGTGTTTCGGTGAGTCCCAGGGCCAGCCCCGGGGCTGGAGGGACGGGCTCGTGTCCTTTGGGGTGCCGTTTAATGGAGGCATAATATCACCCGTGATTTTTATTACAGCTTGTTTTCACCGAGGTTAATTTAGTGTCCAATCTGACCTGACGAGCTTGTTTTTCAGCTGTGGGAGTATCTGGGAAGCTTTCACGGCGCGTTACCCTGCTGGTGAGCACGGGTTGCTCTCGGAGGTGGGGTGAGCGATGCCGAAGGCAGAGTCCCCCAGCGCAGGGCTGGCTCACGGAGACGCAGAAGCTGCTCGTGTTGGGTTGCCCGCGTTCGGGTCCCTCTGTGGCCGAGTTCAGTCGGTGCCAGAGCTGAAGGCTTCGGCCTCGTGGATGGCGAAGGGTCAGGCGCGGGGTGCCGGGGCTGTGCGCTCTCCTCACTGGAGATGATGATATTTTTCACTTGGGTGAGATTTTGGAGGTTGCCACGCTGACCCACGTGGTGCGGGCATCGTTTCGCCCGTGGTGTACCGCGACGTGTCCGATGGGGCCAGCGTCGAACCGGCACGGACTCTGCGGTTTGTCACCTGAGCTGGCCTGAAGTAGGATGCTCGGAGCGGGCATCCCCTTCTGGGGACACTGCGGAAGGCGAAAGACCACAGTGAGGAAACCCCCTGTGCTTCAGGAGAGGTGGCTTTGTTTCCTCTCCAGCGTTTTCCCCGCTGTTCCCCCGGGGATGCTCTCCCTCTGGAAGCTGGCGGCAGGAGCGGGTGCCGCGGCGGCTGGGCGGTCGCAGCCCCCTGCCCGGGGCAGAGCTGCCTTAGCGAGTGCCGTGTTTGCAAGTCCTGGAGACCATTCCTGTAGCTGGCAGCGCGGGAGTTTTTCAGATGATTGTAGGTGCTGCAGGTGACCTTGAACGGAGATTTTTACGGCATGGAGAACCTTGCAAGAAGCAATTAGCAGCAACGAAGGCTCGGCGATTACTTGTGAGGCTGCTATCTGGAGGAGCTGCGAGCAGCAGCCAAATTGAACTGCTGGAATCGGGTTAATGGGATTTCACGCCAGACTGAGCTCAGCGCAAGCCTTACACTGCCGCATATTTCTAAAAATTAAAACTGAATAAATTGTGAGATAGCTTTTACGAACTGTGGTTCGGCAAATTAGATAGCCCCTGGACCAACGGGGAGGTGCCGAGCCCCTGAGATGTGGTGTCTGAAAACGTGGGGGTTTGGGAGGCTCCCGCAGCAGCGCTGGTGGCTGCAGCAGCACGCGGCTGCCTGGGGACGCGGGAGCAGGGCTTGCTCTTCTGGCTCCTTCAAAATGGATTTGCAGCTTCCCACGTTCAGCCTGACCTGGCACGGGAGTGCAGTTCTCTTCAATACCAGATAGTTACCGGAGGCGGAGCTGGATGAAAAGCCCTGTATTTTGCCATAATATGTCTCTATTCACCTGCTCTTCGCTGGTGAGGTGAGAGGCAGAAGTCAGTGTTGGGGAGAAACAGCTTATTGAAGCCTCTGTCCTAGACTTGGGGCGACCTGGAGCATGTTGTGGGGTAACCGTACGTGGCTGCCGTGTCCCGCGGGGCGAGGGGTGACGGGCTGATGGGCAGATACCGTTCCCAGTCGCTCTCACAGAGGTTAACTGGGAACCAGCCGAACAGTGCGGTGTGGTGGGGCCGAAAACTTCCCCCCTGCCCTGGTGCTGTCCCTGTCACGCTAATGGAAAAGGTTCTTGTAGGTCAGTGTAGGTTTGACCTGGAAGAGAGCTCGTTAACGTGGGATTGCAGGGGCACTGGCTGGTGTGATAATGACCTTGCTCCACACAGGTTTCAGTAATTTTTTTCTCTTTTCTCCCCATCCCATCTCCTGCTTTGCAGAGAGCCAAGATTGGAACAGGGTCCAAGGCCGCGGACGAGAAGACAACAAATGCCATTTCGAAATTCGACAACAACGGGAGCAGAGATCGGATGAAGCTTTCGGATTTCAATTTCCTGATGGTGCTGGGAAAAGGAAGCTTTGGGAAGGTGCGGGACGCCGAGCGCGTGGCACGCGCTGTGTTTGACGCACGCGTTTGCGGCGGTTCCGAGCTGAGGCCGAGTGGCTGCTCCAGCGCGCTCTGCCCTTGCTGTGCTTGGGCTGACTGGGAGCACTGGTGTCACGGTAACGGGAGCCCAGTTTGTTGGCTCCCTTCCAGACTGCGACTGCTGTGTCACAGTGATGGAGGCCTGGGATGTCTGATCAGACCATCACAAGTCAGGCGCTTTTTGTGGGAAGCAGGGTGTGTACTGTACCCTTAAACCTCTTTGTTATTTGGCCATTTTTCCTCTAATTATTACAAATGTATGTGAACATTTTAATTAACTTTCCAGATCAGTTAGGAGTGGTAACAGAATTTCATTCTTCTGGTAATTAGGTGGCTTGGAGCCTTCCTTTCTCTTGGGCTTTTCCCAGCTTTGCCATCATTTCCGTGAGAAGTTCCAGTCCTCGGGCGGCTGCTCGGGCTT